ATTTATTTCCCAGCTGTTTACCTTCACAGACATAACCCACTGGTTTTTTTTGTAACTCGTGTTTTTAATGTAAACTTGTGTGTGAATGAGAACTTAGTTTAGTACTCACATGCTGTGACATTCGCTTTCTGTGCGTGTGCTTCGGATGTGTGCTCTCAGAAAACCGTATATCAGAATTTTTAATTCTAAACGCATGATTTCAGAGCGAAAAACATGATAATCAGAACCAAAACAGATGTTTTTAGCAGGTCCGAGCTGTAATGGCGCAGCTCTATTCTGGAAAAGGGGGCGGGGAGCAGCAGCTCATTTGCATTTAAAGAGACAGGCACGAAAAACAGCGTGTTTCTGCTTCCACTCAAAATAGGCATTTTCAAAATGATATAATAAATGATATGTGGAGTATTTTGAGCTGAAACGTCACACACATTCTGGGGACACCAGAGACTTATATTACATATTGTAAAAAGGGGAATAATATGTCTCCTTTAATGAAAAAATTTTTTTTTTACAATGAAAAGGGTATTATAGTTTTTTTTAAACTTGAAGTACAAAAACCAAAAGATATGATTATTCAAAAGACTTTCGTTACAAACAAAAATAAAACTAATATGAAATGGATGGGTCTCACCCTGAATTCTTTTATCAGTGCTTACAAAATGTAATCCGTTACTGATTCAAAATTACATGACAGAAATTGTAGTTAGTAACGTAATCCATTACATTACACATTTTAGGAAGACTACTTCTTGATTACTTTTAGATTACTTTTGACCTAAGTCTTTTATCACATTGATTTAAATAGATTAATCTTGTACCATATTGAAATAAAAATACAAAGAGAAAGAAAATATATTCCATTTGTTGATATTAAGAACATGAAGTGCATTAAACATTACATTACGTCAAGGTTTCACAAACTATAAAATGCAGGGGTTCATGAATTTAGGCTGAGAAAGATTAATTAATTAAATCATAAAACTGTAAAATGAAAATAAATAGTTTTAAAATAACAGCAATCAAAATAAAACATTTACTAAAAAAAGATAAAGCATTTATTTGTTTTCCTGCATGTCATGTGACTATTAACCAACATCAGAGAACCGAGAACATTCAAATGTGTTACTTTTAATTATTAATTTATTACCTTAAAATCTCAGGGGCACTTAAAGTAAATATATAAGCTGAAAGAGGTTCAGCTGACCAAATTTTGGGAATCATTGCATTACATGTAAATAAGAAATAATGTGAATTTGCGCATTTTAAAGTTTAAAAGACAAAAGCCTTATTAAAAGCCTTATTTTTATTAATCAAAAATGAATGTGTTCATCAGTAGTTGATGCAATGTTGAAATGTTGAGAAAACACTTCTTTAAATTGAAATGATTTCTGTAAATCCAGTGGTCAAATGCTGTGTGGCCTCTCAATTTTCTGTCCCGGACTAAAATGCATGTCTGTCCTGTTTTAACTGAAAGAAACTTGCACTGATTTATCTTAAAATATGCCAGTGCCACTGTTTCGTCTCAAGATGCACATCAGTAATGTTATTTTCTAAGACACGTTTATAAAAAAATACTTAAATTGAACTATGGTCTAATCCTGGCTTAAGCTTTTGCATGAATAATATGTAATCATGTAATCTATAAAAAGTAACTGTAATCTGATTACAAGTATTCTAAAATGTAATATCATCTAATTACAAGTACTTAATTTTTGGAATCTGATTACATATTCCAGATTACATGTTATCAGTTACTACCCAGCACTAATTTTTATTAACTACATTCAAAGCCTTCAAGTGCAACAGCGATTATACACGCATCTGTGAGCACACAGAAGACCGATATACGGCGATAAGCCTGGTATGAGCCCTACACTTTATCCACAAAATCATCACAAGCTGAAATGCTGTGGTGCAGACGTTATTGCAGACATAAATAGTTACAGTGTCCTTTTGCTAAACCTTGAAGCGATGTATGCGATGAGTAAGCATGTGAGTAAGTGCACATAATTTGTGTTTTTCTCCAGTCTTATTATCATCACTGGTCTGCCTTTCAGGAACAGATAAAGTCACGCAGTCTGGCTGTCTGACTCTACCCACACTCTCAGACACGACGCTTATTATTGCGACCTGTTCTGCCACCAAATATATATTTGAGGTGGCCTGTGTGTTTACTAGAGATGGACCAATGCATTGAATGATCAAATTAAAATGATCAACAATCTGCAATACAAGACAAAGACTGATGCTAAACAACAGTTTATTGATAATCAATTAGGTACACTACCATTCAAAAGTTTGGGGTCAGTCCAGTTTTTTTTATTGCATTAAATTGATAAAAAGTGAAGACATTTATTACTTTACAAATTATTTCTATATCAAAAAATGTAGTTATTTTAAATATTCTACTTTTCAAAGAAACCTGAAAAAAATTATGTATCACAAAAATATTAAGCAACGCGACTGTTTTCAATAATTAGAAATGTTTCTTGAGCAGCAAATCGGCATATTAGAATGATTTCTGAAGGATCATGTGACACTGAAGACTGGAGTAATGATGCTGAAAATTCAGCTTTGATCACAGAAATAAATTACATTTTAACAGATATTCACATAGAAAACAGTTATTTTGAATTGCAGAAAATGCTTCTTTTGCCATCATTTAAAAATTTTACTGATCCCAAACTTTCTATGGTATGACTACTGCAGTTTCCAAAATGGTATAATCCCTGGATGTTACTAGAGAGCATGAATGAAACTGTCCTTCTTTGTCTTTTTTGGACCAGGTTCTTATCCACGTCTGTCTCTGAGTTTCAAACTCAAGAGGAACATCGGTTACTTCATCCTGCAGACCTACATGCCCTCAATCCTGATCACCATCCTGTCCTGGGTATCCTTCTGGATCAACTACGATGCTTCTGCTGCCCGCGTGGCTTTAGGTGGGACATCTGATCATGTGATGTGTGTTATTGTTGGTTTGTTGGACTTATGATGAACACTTTATACTGTATCTCTGTTTTGTGTGCTCAGGGATCAGCTGAGTGATTTCCGGTACTTGTTTTACAGGCTCTTTTCTGTTTGCCTCTCTTTGCAGTTGAGTAATACATCAGTGACTGTGATTTTGCCAAGATGTGTTCCTGTATCAACATCCTTGTTGGTCATGGAACAACATTCCTATATTGTGCTGCAGTGATGGCATAATTTTGTTGGCCAACCTGGAAGTTAACGTCACCCTGGTTCCCTTGACAAAAACCCAATAGGAATACTAATTCCTGCAGCACTCTATTAACAAATCTGATTTTAGGTTCCATTTATAGTCAGATTTGAGATATTCCTACTCAATATCTCAGATTTCCACCTGTAGATGTGCTCCACATTCGAAAGATATAGAGAAACAAGAAATCAGCACTACGATTAGCTTTGCAGGTGTTCAGAGTCTCCTGCCAACCAAATTGCAGAGAATAAGTGGTGATACACATTAATTTTGCAGGTGTAAGAGTTTCAACAGGATCTTATAATGCTGGCGCTTCAACTCATTGATTCATTGCATTTGCTGAAACGGGATTACATCCCCCAGGGTGTCATCATGTTCATAAGACATCACAAGTTTCCAAGTTGGAAGTCCAATAGTCTCGCTTAGCCAGACTTTTAATTGAGGCCATAGGGTTTGGGATCTGAAGCCAGTTGGCCAAGGACAGCCCACTTTAGTAGGAAGAGGCGGTCTGACTGACATGTAAACCAATAACAGTTCATTTGTTCAATGTCAGCTCTAATTGTTCATTGCATGCCTTTAGTAAATCCTAACAACACCAAAAGAGGCTTTGTGCTGGCGCAAGCTGTTAGTAAATCGGTCCCACTACACTTTTCGTTCCACTGACTTCCATTCATACGCATGCGAATGTGGGAAAGCGGTTTAAGTTTGGTGAACTCTGACCCGCGAATTCGTATCAAACCACGTGACCAACAGCAGATCGATACGTCACAGCATGACCTCGTAGCTGAATTAAAAGAACAGAAATGTAAAACTGCAGCGCTGCCGGAAAGTGGAGTATTTATTACTGTATTTGTAATATGTTGAATTTAAGTTGCTGAATAAAAGATGCTCTCAGAGCGAGACATCATATCACCACTGTTGCAGAAAGTTTGCATCCTCAAAGTCTAGTGTGACTGCGACTTAAGACTGGTTTGAGCTGGTTTAAGATGGGCATGTGCTGGTTATAAGCTGGTTTAAGCTGGTCATGTGCTGGTTATAAGCTGGTTTGAGCTGGTTTAAGATGGGCATGTGCTGGTTATAAGCTGGTTATGAGCTGGTTTAAGCTGAGCATGTGCTGGTTATAAACTGGTTTAAGCTGGGCATGTGTTGGTTATAAGCTGGTTTGAGCGGGCATGTGCTGGTTATAAGCTGGTTTGAGCTGGTTTAAGCTGGGCATGTGCTGTTATAAGCTGGTTATGAGCTGGTTTAAGCTGGGCATGTGCTGGTCATGAGCTGGTTTAAGCTGGGCATGTGCTGGTCCTAAGCAACTAGCTCTTTCTCAGGACCAGCTCATAACCAGTTTATAACCAGCTCAGGACCAGCTTAAGCCAGCTCAAACCAGCTGCCATGCTTCAAAACATACCTAACCAGCATATGCTGGATTTTTCAACAGGGTCTACTGCAGTTTTCCATGTAGGATCAACAGAAGATGTTGATTCAGGAACATGTCTTGGCAAAATCAAGGTGATCTTAAAACATCTGTTCCCCACGAAAATAATTGCTCAGAGGTTGCTCTTTCATTACTCAAGAGATGCGGTCCATTGCTCAGATGTTTCTCCTAATATTTGTCGCAGAAGACTGTAGAGAAATGTTTGAATGCATTTGTGTGGTTATGCTTTCCTTTGGGCAGTACCTGCGTGTGCTCCAAAAGAGGAGGCTCAAATTGCAAATGAAATTGTATGATGCTTGGACTCAAGTGGGTCTTAAATCTGCCTCACTCCAGTGAAGAGTGCTCAGCTCCAAACTCTATTAGGAGTGCTCTGTAGCCTCTGCTGATCTGCATTGATGTATTACTGCTGATTAAGCTGACAAACTTTCCTTCGGTCGCTCTTTACTGATGTGTTTTATGTCCAGGGCCATGTTCCTGCCATTATGACAAAATGGCTTCTTGTGACACTGATACTTCGGGGGGAGACGGTGGAGAATAGATCACTGATGATAGGGAGCCGGGCCTTTTGTGTTTGGGTGAACTTGTCAGAATGAATCTGTCTGCAGTGAGGGGCATGTGACAAAGAAACACATGTCTCAACCTTGCTGTATTGTTTAAACAGAAATGCAGCAGCTCTATTACAGACTTGATGTCTCGTTTTCTCTACATGGCTTCAAAATGATCGCTTGAGCTTTCTACACTGAACATGTTTGATATGCATGAGTGAATTTGACCGAACAGAGATGATGATGAACAAATTAAACATTTGGGAATATGGGAGAAATCCTGATGAATTGTTCTTTGACTAATTTGGCAGATGGTTAGAGGTGAGCGTACAGGCAAAGATCCATCAAAAAACTAGACATTTTATAATATACATGCACCGTTCAAAAGATTTTTATGATGCATTAGAAAATAAATCAATACTTTTATGTAGTAAGGATGCATAAAATTGATCAAAAGTGACAGTAAATGCATTTATAATATTTCAAATTCTCTTTAAAATAAATGATTTTCTTTTAAACTTTCAAAGGAATCCTGAAAAATGTATCATTGTTTCCGCAAGAATATTAAGCAGCACAATTATTATATACTGATAATAATAAATCAACATATTGACTTCTGAAGGATCATGTGACACTGAAGACTGGAGTAACGATGCTGAAAATTCAGCAATTAATTGCATTTTAAAATATATGAAAATAGAAAACAGTTATTTTAAATTGTTATAATATTTCACAATATTACTGATTTTACTGAATTTTTGATCAAATAAATGCAGCCTTGGTGAGCAAAAGAAGTCTCTCCTTCACTGCTTGTTTTGTGAATATCTTCAGTCTGATTGCTTAATAATAGCCTCAACAAGTTGTAAATTTTAAGGTACGACTCATGTGATGAGAACTTTGTGAGGCGAGTTGCGTGAGAGCGAACAAACCTAAACCTAAACTCGAGTATTAACTTTCGTCATGCAACTCATCCCACAGCGTTCCTGCTACACTACTGCTCCCCGAAATGGTGCTTTTCTCCAAATCCATAACCCTAAGTAGGATATGAATAGCACATCTCTAGGTATATCTCAATGCTAGCCCTGTAGCTCGCAGCACTTATTTTCGGTTCGCATTTGCATTAGTGCATTGTGTTCAAGTTGATTGTTGTCAGAGTTTTCATCCTGGTTTCGAGTTAGAAGATGACACATGAATAACCTCTGTAATTGCTTCGTTGGCAGCTCCTACTCAGTGCTTGCTGGATAATTACGTCTCACTTCTCTTGTTAAATAAAGCTGCATTTGACTTGAGCTGCACTTAATTATGCCTGAACGCTTTCTCTGAACTCCAGGTATCACCACCGTGCTGACCATGACCACCATTAATACTCACTTGCGAGAGACCCTTCCCAAGATTCCCTATGTGAAAGCCATAGACATGTACCTGATGTGCTGCTTTGTCTTTGTGTTCCTGGCGCTGCTGGAGTACGCCTTCGTCAATTACATCTTCTTCGGGAGAGGCCCTCAGCGGCAGAAGAAGGCGGCGGAAAAAGCCGCCATGGCCAACAATGAGAAACTCAGGCCCGACCCCAACAAGGTACTGCCGAGATTTCCACACACACACCTCACTGGTTTGTTGACAAAGGCCTCTGGTCAGTAGGTGGTCGGTTCTCTGAGGTAATATGTTGTGTGCTTTCAGGGTCAGATTGTTAAAACACCGGATGCATAGCTGTATTTTTTCCACTGGCATAAGCTTGTTCACCAACCGCAACCTAATGGGCTTTTACCCTCAGAAACATGTGATGAAATATCCGGGAGATCGGCGCAGACTTTTGTTAGCTGTAAACAACAGACTCACGGCTGGCGGGGCCTCTAGGGCTTTCCTTCTAATCTCATTGAAAGAGTTGTGTCTCGACCTCTGTAACAGTGCTGATTTTGTATGCTTGCAGTGGTTGGTGGGAAGTGTAGTTCAGAGAGACGATGCTCTCTATGCCAGAATGAAACAGAGGGAAATTGACGGGTATGACTCGATGTGGGATCCGATCTTTGCCGAGGATGCAGCATTAGGACTAGGCGATCAAAGACTTAAGGTACTGAATATTTGACCCTAAGTCAAAAAAATGCAATGACTCTGCATCGATAACCAACCCAAGCTCTTTCTGTGACTTTCTTTTCTATGACTTTCTGTTGTTGTTCCTTTAGAGTAATGATGGTAGCCATCATCATTTCCACCATTACGTTGCCCTGCCCTTTTTTCAGTTACCATTTGCACCCGAGCCTTTTCACAGACGCTCATTACTGTTTGATCGCCCAGCGTAGCATTTTGTGCAATGGACGCTTATTAGCTTAAAGACCCGTTCACACCACGGATGATAACTATAATTTGGTTTAATAATCATTCTAATTCTATGAGAATATATAGGGTAGTCCACACTACAACTATAACGATAACAACACAGAAGAAAAGTGTTGGGGGTGATGCATTACAAGTTACGTAATCAGATTACTTTTTTCAAGTAACTAGTAAAGTAACGCATTACTTTTAAATTTACAACGAGTTACTTTTTCCAAGATATATTTTCAAAATACCTGAGCACTTCTATCAACCTGAGGCTTATTAATTTCACTTTTGGTGTGAAAGGGCCCTTACAGTTGACAAAAATATAACTTTTGGATTTTTTGTTATTAAAAAAAACTAATAATCAAGCCCAGCCCAGCTGACAAAAAGTAACGCAAAAGTAACCTAATGCATTACTTTCCATAAAAGCAATTCGTTACTTTTTTAATGGAGTAACTCAATATTGTAATGCAAAAGTAACTTTCCCCAACACTACAGAAGAGCGATATTGTCGAAATGATAAAAACATTGGCAGCCAATCAGAAATGCAGATAAATGCATACGATATAATTTAAAGCAAATGATATAAAATTGGTCAAATTAAGCGATTAAACTTCTGTTACCGAATATTAAACCTACTGAATGTTCAAAACAGATCTATTGACAAGGTGAACAACACGACGGGGAACTGATTAGTCTCAAATTATATGAATATATATACTGATAAATAATTTTATCACTAGTTACAGTAGCTTTGTTACAGTAACATTAGCAGTTAGCAAACCGCATTAGCAATGTTTACATCGCAAAGGCAGCTTTTGCAGGATAATTTTGATGATTAGTGAGCAGCTTAAGATGTAATAATGCTTAAAATGAACACTTGTAAAATGTAAAAGTAAAAAAGTATAGGGTTATCGTGGAAAGTGAAAGCGGCATTTCCTTACCTCCATCTCTGCAACCTGACTCCTCACTGTTGATCTAGACTTTTGCCTTCATATTTTTATTTGCATTTATTTGGCTGATTTATACGCAGACAGAATTTTAACCATACCATGGATATTATTGCCTGCTGAAAAGCTTTACTCCACAGCTTACCATGAGTGCAGTATAACTATCGCTGACGATTCATTTACTATGGTTGTACTGCATTCATCGTGGTTTTAAAGGGACAGTCCACTTCTTTTCAACATCTAGTTCATGAAATCCATCATTGTGCATCATTTCAACATATGCAAAAAAAGCATTACCCTGCGGTCTGTGATTCAAAGAGAAGATGTTCAGTAAGCAAAGGCGGCTTCCAGTTACATCCAAAAAGAGTTTTGAAAATATCTTACCCACAGATCTCAGAAAAAATGCTGGTTTTGCTAATATAATGTATAGAGGGCTCTTCAATAATGCACTATTTGATGACGGTGATTCTTAACTAGACCTGATCCTACAATGTTGCTTCTCTCTCCAGATGACCCCCGATGATATCCGGCTGACCACGGTTGAGATGAAGAACGAAATGGGTCCGTCTGATCTTTCCCGGGGTCTGGGTGACCCACGTAGCACCATGCTAGCCTACGACAGCTCCACCCTTCAGTACCGTCGAGCGGCCATGGCTCGGCAAAACTACGGCCACAGCGCGCTGGAGCGCCACGCCACCCAGAAGAAAAGCCGGCTCAGGAGACGGGCTTCCCAGCTCAAGGTCAACATCCCGGACCTGTCCGACGTCAACTCCATCGACAAGTGGTCGAGGATGATCTTCCCCACCGTGTTTTCCTTCTTCAACATAGTTTACTGGCTTTACTACGTGCATTAAAAGCATCCGCAGAGCAGAACGGACCAAAAAAGAAAACAAAGAAGAGTAAAAAAGAGAATAAAACAATACACCTTTTGCTGATTTATTTCAAATATATAGCGTAAAGACTGAGGAAAGACAGTCAAAGTTAAAAAAATCAGGACGGACTCTTTTGTTTTTCGTTCTAAAGACATTGAGGAAACACATCGGCGGCGGAACCGGAGAAAAAACACGCAGTACAGGGCTTGCTCCAGAGTTTCAGTATACCACTTATATTTGTCATATGTAGATTACTCTGTGGATCAAATATTTATGCTTGTCTTTGCATATATTTTAAGGATTTGTTTTTTGGGTTAGTCGTAGCCAACTGCATCCGAGAAAGCTTTACAAAAGGAGTCGGTCTTGAAAGTCTATTTTCCTAGAGTTAAGCTGTATATCAGATATCTTTTAAAAGCATGCTTTGGTTTGTTTTCTTTATCTCATGCAGAGAGCCGGAGCACAATGCATTTTCAGTTGACACTTTAAAGGTTCTTCTGTTCTTTCAAATGAGTTTGCAGGATGCAATGCAAAGACGCTGTCAGGAAGCCATACAGGGTATTTTCACAACAGGTCCTTTTACTATTGCTTTTGGTTTTTTGATGTTGGGCCAACAAGGAAACTCAGCCCTATTAAAACAACAGTTTTATCTGATGCAGGGGAAATACGAACAGGCTGGGCCACGACGAAGGACACATGGACCATTACCCTGGTGGTTGGACTGTGTCAACAGTGCCTAGGCCGTGTAAATGCTAGACGGTCCTCATCTCTACACTGTATGAACTTTGTGTGGTGAGCCGCTGAGGGAGAAACGGCTGTTTAACATCTCTCAAGTGTCTCTCGACACGCAGGGGTATTGGATGAGGCAAGTTAGCCTCAACGGAGAAAGACGCAATATATCTGTAAACCATTAACACTATCGATAGATATAAGTTGAAAACTAGTAGCTGATATTACATCATGATAAAAAAAAAAAGAAACTTTGATTCAATAGTTATAATATCAGATGTTAATGTTATGGTTCATTATTTAAACGTATTTTTTGGTGTATTAGATTTCTTAATGTCGAAGACTTTGGTTGATGAAAAAAATCTTGCTTCTTAAAAATTGGGCGAAGGATCTGAATCTTTTTCAAAGGCCTCAAAGCGCACCAGTTGAACTTAAGCAAGAAACCGATCATTGCTACTCTGAAATTTATGGTAACTATCACTTCAGTTTACTAAGAAGGATCTGGATCATACAATCAAGGCATCTGTCAGGCAATTTTGTATAAAATCCTGTAAATTATAATGATATTTCATAATGACCTGTAAATATATATATATTGTGTAATGATTGTCAACAATAATGAAAATGTATCTAAATTAAATTATTAAAGCTTAATGAAGCTTATATCTCTTAAACCATTACCTTACAGATTTTTCCTTACAGTTTTACGGTGGCTTCAGTCAGAAAGGATTGAGTTGAAATAGTTTACTCAGGGCCGTAACCATAGACATTGAGGGGGACAATCGATACCAATAATTAGAAATGGCCAAATTGATCCCCCAATGTTGTAAATTCTTGCATTGATCTGCTGCCACGCCATTACGCTGCACTTTGTTTATTATTATAATGACTAACAGGTTTAAAAGTTACATTTTAGCCTGGTCTGACAGTGCTCGTCACTGATAGAGATGGCAAGGGTTGCCAGGTTTTTCACAACAAAACCCGCCCAATTGGGGGGTTAAAATACACCCTGATAGCTCACGTACATCTGCAAGACGTATTTTTTAGTGTTTACTCATCTGCAATACGTCTATAGGACGTTTCCTATCCGATGTCAAATAGACGTTTAGAAGATGTCTTTAGGATGATTATGATTTAGAATGAATGTAAAACTGACATCTTAAAGACGTCTATCAGATGTTTGTACACAGCAGATGCTTTCCAGATGAAGCGATCTTTAACAGACATCTTGCAGATGTACATTTGCTATCTGGGCACGTTTTTTGTATTTTTTCAATTTCCCCTGGAACGCGATTGGGCTAATTTTGGCCGTGATTAGACAAGTTTTGAGTAGCAGTTGAGCTGGTTTTATTACGCAGACCTGGCAACCCTGCGTCAGTTTTCACGTTGAAAGAGAGCGAGGTAAGGTGGAAGTAGCGAAACATGCAATATTCGACAACTGTTTTACTATAAAAATTGTTAAACGACCAATAGTAATATCCAGGGATGCAAAATACTCTACTTTTTTGCCTCAAATACGGCCGTTTTGAATTGAAAGTGTGGTATTATTTACGTGATTCGTGTGATTCTTGAATGTGACGATACATGCAAGGTTCTGCGTTTTCGTCATATTATTTGGAAATGTTACGGACTAGTGGTTATGGACTAGTGTTTACTGCTAACTAGTTTACTAATACTGCACAGTAAATACTGTATACTGCCTACTATTTTTCAAAACAAGTAAAACAATGCAACGTTAAACATTTCAAAGCAGTACTATGCTAAAATAATTAAAATTAGTTTTTTTTTTTCTTTCTTATTTTTTAAAATATTTTTATCATACAATTTTTTTGGCCATATTCCATGTCTTCTGAAGTCACACAGAATAGCCTTGCTCTCCTTGGCGAGATGCTAGGATCACAATTGTAATTATTTCTGGTTCATTTATCGCACTAGTAATGGAAAGTCAAGCTTTGCATTATGGGATACATTATTCTGTGCATCGTGCTCTGTTGTACACATTTTGGCTGATGTAGGAGGTCATGGTCATTCTATGCATCCAGAACATGTTGTGCACATTATGCATGCTATATAAGTCAGAAATATTATGGTAGCGCCCTATTCTGAACATATCCACCGGCTCATTAGATTAACCAGAAGAACAATATTGAATTTGTTCTCTGTCATGTTGTGCGTTTAATCCCATTGTAGGCCAGTTGGGACGTGTACATGATTATGATGCTCACAGTTCATTATCTCTTGTTTGTTTGAAATATGGATTCTGCTAACACAGCACAGGACTAATATCTTTATGGTTCCCTGGAAAATGATGAGCACTTTAATAAGTTTGGAAGATTTTCAATAGCCCTTCAACGTGCGTTGACGTATTATGCTTAAATTACCATAAATCCACGTGAGCTCCATGCAGATGAGAGAAGATTAAGACGTGTTATTGTCGCCAGGTGATTGAGAGACGGGGTGAGATGGCTGTGTGTGCTTGAGGAGCGATTGGAGCGGGGTGTTGTGCCCGCTTTATGACTGACTGGGTGCCAGAATGCATAATGGATGAAAAAGCAACACTTCCGCTCCTCTGATAGACAGAGAGGGGAAAAGAGCAGTTCTCATGAGCGATGGAGGCTGCCACAGGGAACATTAAAGCAGAAAGGCATGAACGTTCCAGTACACTATGGACTCTGAATGGCCCTGTAGGCCAAAGGAGCTGCAAAATGAAAGCTAGACCGAAATAGAGTTCAGAAATAAAGATTTTCACCATAACAGAACCCTTACTGACTCACAAACACGCATTCATTTTTAAAATTGTGTTTTTCAGGCAAGGAAAAGTCATGGGAATGCCTGTAGTGAATACAAATTTTATGCTTATAATAATAAATAATTAAATAATTTATGCATTTAGCAGACGCTTTTATCCAAAGCGACTTACAGTGCATTCAGGGTATACATTTTTTTACCAGTATATGTAAATATAAAGAGAAAGTTCCTTCGGCTGAGGATATTGAAGAGGATGGCGTTCGACTGTCCGATACCGTCGCATTCGCAATCCATGTTCTCACCAAACACATGCTATCTTAGAACTCAAACCTCATGTACACTGAAGCTGTGAGAGACTCGCATCTGTCACTAAGATGGCTCCTATTTATAACAAGCACTCCTGAACCTTGACCTGTCAATCTACATCTGCTGTGAACAAAACAACTGTTTAGCTCTAAAAAATAGCTTATATAGCTCTAAAAAATTTCAATGGCTAGAAATACATTTTTAAAAAATATTTAATGATCACAAATGATTGGAAACATCAAGGGGGAAAAATCATGGGAATTCATTGGTTACGATATGTATGAACCTAAAATGCTTGGTTGTTTCAACCCAACTTTGGGTCAAATATGGACTAACCCAACTTTTGGGTTAAAAATGTAATTTAAAAATGTAACCCAACGGTTGGGTTAGTCCATATTGGACCCAAAGTTGGGTTGAAACAACCCAGCATTAAAAATTTAATGTAAAAATTTAACCCAACGGTTGGGTTAGTCCATATTGGACCCAAAGTTGGGTTGAAACAACCCAGCATTTTTTAGAGCGTACAAATGCAATGGCATCGCTGTTTATGTGTTTTATTATTCATTTATTCTCACAATGGCTTGCAAAGTGGAAAATTCAGTTGTTTTGTGGCTATGAATATGCACTGGAAAAAAAAATTGGTGTAGAGACAATTTTCACAAATTTCACAAACAATTACAAAAAAGCAACACTTTGAATTACACGTGAGATTTTGAAGTAGAAAAACTGAAGTAGTATTTTTTGAAAAATGTTCTCCGATAACCTTTGTTTTTTACTACTTCGAAAAAAAAAATTTTTTTTACAGTGTGCCAATTGTACAATGTTAATAGCCCTTGCAAATTATTATTAGTAGTAGTATTAGTAATATTAATAATTTGCTAGCTTTAATAAAATGTGAATAACCCTTGCAAATTATTATTAGTATTAATAATAATAAAATAGTTGTATTTTGCAAGCTTTAATAAAATGTGAATAACCCTTGCAAATTAATAATAATAATAACAATTTTTATTAGTATCTGCTTTGTGAGGTGAGAATGTACACTGAAAACAATTTGAAACTTTTCTCTCAGAAACTGTATTGTAAAAGTATTTTAATTAATTTAAACAAACTCAAGTACTTTAATAAAGTAATTAATTTCACAAGTAGCGCATTAAGTTTGAATGCAAAGGATTGGAATAGTATTTTCTTCTCAAGCGTAATCCAATAATCTTTGTTGACCTTTGATAAATCATTGTATTTCTGTATTCAGAAGCAATGGTTTTACCCTCGAGGACTAAATTCCTCTCTTTCTTAATGGCCCTGAAGCTAACGATGTTAAAGAACTCCA